TCGTTATATCGAATTCATATATATTTTTCTACAGGCCCTTATTGTTGAATTTGATTAAACGAATTTAATTCGTTGTAACAAATTTAAGAATTCGTTCAAACGAATTTAATTTGTTATAACAAATTTTAGAATTCGTTTAAACGAATTTAATTTGTTATAACAAATTTTAGAATTTGTTTAAACGAATTTAATTTGTTATAACCAATTTTTGAATTCGTTATAATGAATTCAACAAATTTGTTATAACAGATTAAATTCGTTATAACGAATTCAAATAAACTGTTATAACGAATTTAAATTTGTTATAACAAATTCAACAATTCGTTATATCGAATTCAAAAATATTTTTTAATAGGTCCTAAATGGGCTTCTACGGAAGCTCATTTAGGACCTATTAAAAAATATTTTTGAATTCGATATAGCGAATTTGTTATAACGAATTTCATTCGTTATAACAGTTTATTTGAATTCGTTATAACGAATTTAATCTGTTATAACAAATTTGTTGAACTCATTATAACGAATTCAAAAATTGGTAATAACGAATTAAATTCGTTTAAACAAATTCTAAAATTTGTTATAACAAATTAAATTCGTTTAAACGAATTCTAAAATTTGCTATAACAAATTAAATTCGTTTGAACGAACTCTAAAATTTGCTACAACGAATTAAATTCGTTTAATCAAATTTAACAATCAGGGCCTGTAAAAAAATATATATGAATTCGATATATAAATTTGACGAATTCGTTCTAACAAATTTAATTCGTTATAACAAATTAAAGAATTCATTTTAACGAATTTAATTCGTTATAACAAGTTTTAGAATTCATTATAACGAATTTAATTCATTATAACAAATTTTTCAATTCGTTATTACGAATTCAACAAATTTGTTATAACAGATTAAATTCGTTATAACGAATTCAAAGAAACTGTTATAACGAATTAAATTCGTTACAACAAATTCGACAATTCGTTATATCGAATTCAAAAATATTTTTGATAGGTCTTAAATGGGCTTCCGTAGGCTTCCGTACATAAGCTTTGGAGAGCTTTTGATCAATATATTAATATGGATTTAGATCAAATAGCAACTAAGATTAAAGCACTTTATTTTTGGTTTTATTCTTACCGAATTGCATTATTTTTTTAAATTTGGTTTTGTTTTGTTTTGTTGTTGTTGCTTTTTTTTGGTTCTTTTTTTGAGTCTGTTTCTTGGAATAAATGTCTCTGGTAGACGATTAAAAGAATAACTGCATCCCAGAGATTATGTAGAGGAAATACAGAATGTTGGATCCTTCATACTGAGAAAAATTCGAAGTTCCGGACAATTAAATATGATTACAACGTCGTCCATTCAAATTAACACTTTTTTCCCAAAGTCAACAAAGGGGTCAAAAGGGGAGATGACCTAATTTTTCCTTCTTTACACGTGTAATATTTTGTGTGTATTGTCATAACAAATTATATTGCTTAACGATTTCTTGTAAAATATATGAGGGAACCAGGATACAAATTACAAATATATTTGAAGAAATAACTGTCAAAGTTTTCAGCCAATAATAAGTTATGAAGGCTTTAGTGGGACTTCAACGGCTTTTTCTAAAAGGCACGTATTTTTATTATAAAAATTACATGAAAAAAATAACACAAGGTATCTGATTCCAAATTTTAGCAAGTACTACCCACTCAAGAATATTGTTTATTTTCGTTTTCAGAGAAGGTTATTACAGAGTGTTTATCATTTTTTCTGTGATAATTTATCTACAAATTCATTTTTGTCAATGTTGCCTTTATTGCCCCCAGCGTAAATTGGTATATAACATACAATTGATATAACAAATTGATAATTTGTTATATCAAATTGATAATTTGTTATAACAAATTACTAATCTGTTAAAACAAATTACTAATTTGTTATAACAAATTAGTAATTTGTTATAACAAATTACTAATCTATTATAACAAATTACTAATCTGTTATATCAAATTGTTATTTTGTTATAACAAATTGATAATTTGTTATATCAAATTGATAATTTGTTATAACAAATTACTAATTTGTTTTAACAAATTAGTAATTTGTTTAAACAAATTTAAAAAAGATACAGCTGCGGCCCTAATACGCTTCCGTATTATTGGGATGATAACATATATACGGAAGCCCATTTAGGACCTATCAAAAAATATTTTTGAATTCGATATAACGAATTGTCAAATTTGTTATAACGAATTTAATTCGTTATAACAGTTTCTTTGAATTCGTTATAACGAATTTAATCTGTTATAATAGATTTGTTGAATTCGTTATAACGAATTGAAAATTTTGTTATAACGAATTATATTCGTTATAACGAATTCTAAAACTTGTTATAACGAAATAAATTCGTTAAAATGAATTCTTTAATTTGTTATAACGAATTAAATTTGTTAGAACGAGTTCGATAAATCGTTATATCGAATTCATATATATTTTTCTACAGGCCCTGATTGTTGAATTTGATTAAACGAATTTAATTCGTTGTAACAAATTTAAGAATTCGTTCAAACGAATTTAATTTGTTATAGCAAATTTTAGAATTCGTTTAAACGAATTTAATTTGTTATAACAAATTTTAGAATTTGTTTAAACGAATTTAATTCGTTATAACCAATTTTTGAATTCGTTATAATGAATTCAACAAATCTGCTATAACAGATTAAATTCGTTATAACGAATTCAAATAAACTGTTATAACGAAATTAAATTTGTTATAACAAATTCAACAATTCGTTATATCGAATTCAAAAATATTTTTAATAGGTCCTAAATGGGCTTCCGTACATATGAGTTGCTCTGATATTTTTGAGAAGATATGTTCTATGTGAATCCCTTTTGTGGCCCCAGCTAAACCCTGGAGCAATGGTTTGAATGAACTGTGATGCCGCTGTTCTTGAAAAGAATAGTTTGATCACTATTGTGACCTCACTCTATGTTGAAAAAAATTTGTTTGTTTGTTTGTTTTTCCCCTATTTCTCTAGACAAAATTTTTATGCCCTTTTGTGTGAACAAAGTTGAAATTTCAATATGGCATAAAGCTTTCACACAAGTTTCACTTTCTTGGTAGCCAAGATGTTTAATTTTTTTTTTAATTTTGCCTTTTCTTGATTATCTCTGCTGGGAGGGGGTAGTCCGAAATATCTGACGTTTTCCTGGGTTTTTTTTTTTTTACGATTTGATATTTTACGTGCCAGGAAAACGTCAGAACAGGCGCCATTACGAAAACTGGGAATTCGCCACCTCCAACCGGAGGCGGCATTCTCGGGTTGATTTTCGAAACTTTCGAACCGAATTAAATGTCAAACTCACAACTTATCAATAGTACAATACTTTTAGTACTCACCAACATCGTTTTTATGGTTCGTTTATAAAATATACAATCCGATGAAAACATTTTATCTGACAGTCGAGATTTGTTTTCTTTTGGTGCACTTAAAATCTTGCAATTCCTGTATCGAAATGTGGAGTGATGTTTTCTTTTCATCGATATTGGTGAGTACTAGAAGCATTGTGCTATTGATAAACTGTGAGTTCAGCATTTAATTCGGTTCGCAAGTATCGAAAATCAACCCGAGAATGCCGCCTCCGGTTGGAGGTGGCGAATTCCCAGTTTTCGTAATGGCGCCGGTACTGACGTTTTCCTGGCACGTAAAATATCAAATCGTAAAAAAAAGCCAGGAAACGTCAGATATTTCGGACTAGGGAGGAGGATCTGGTTCATTATTTGGGGAAAAACTTAGACTAAGGATACTTTTGAGCCAAGTTTGATTGAAAGTGGCCCACTGAATATAAAAATGGTAAAAGTTTACGACAACCATGCAGCCTCTTTCGATCAGAAAAGCTGGAGCCCTTAGCTCAAGTAAAAAGGACAATAAACTGTGTGCAAGAGAGAGGGATTTAGGAGCAAAAATAAAAGATCGATGTCAGCTAGATGAAATATCTAAATTCAATAGTTAGGGGGGGAGGGGGAGGGGTCAAGAGCCTCTACAACTTTTGTTGTCCGACATAGATAATTCAGTCTTTGTGTTATTGGCATATGTGTGGATCCAGGATTTTTTAATTAAAACGGGGGGGGGGGGGGGGGGGGGGGTCCATAGCCACTAACAAAATCTATCTCAGAATTTTATTGACATGCAATAAATCGTTTACATTTCCAAACCCGAAAAACCTATTTGGGGGTGGGTGGGTAGGTGGATGGGGCTATAGAACAAGTCGCTTTCCTTCACATGTATTAGTGACTCTTCTTACCATTTTACCAGGGGTCCATATTCCCTAGGGGGGTTCTGTGTTTTTTTTGGGGGGGGAGGGGGGAGGGGGCGTTTTTATCCTTACATTACTATACAGATTTGAAAACTGAAAATCCTGGGCAGGGGGGACCTCCTGACCCGCCTACCCTCCGGCTAGATTAGCGCATGATTGGTATTTTCTTACTATCAATTAACAAAATAAAATATTAATGGGTATTTTCAGTGCAATGAATATTAGTACTTTATAATCAAATTTGAGTCAACACTCATCACATTTATTTTTGAGGGGGAATGGGGGTCTTGATGAAAACTCTGAATTTATTTATTTAATATATATATATATATATATATATATATATATATATATATATATATATATATATATATATATATATATATATATATATTTATTTATTTATTTATTTATTTATTTTTTGGCCAGACATCGAACGTTTGATCTTGCCCTTTAACCTCTTTGCTCACCTTACAGTCAAACATTCTCACATAGAGTAACGCTAAGGTGAGTTAAAACAAACCTTAAGCTAGATATGCCATGTCTACAACGAAGGTCGAATATGTATTTTTTTTTTATAGTTGAGTACAATTAAATATATACGAATCATTTTCCCAATCATATATATTTATCTCTAATTTGCCTACAAAAGTCGTTTTCCCTTACTTCATACGAATAGATAAACAACAACCAAGTATGTGTTTTATTCACAATAAAATATTAGTTTTTGACATACAAAGGCAGTATTAAAAGATTAAACTTAAAACAATATTGAATTGACTGTCACAACAAAAGAGAGCGCTTTAATGTACTCCCAAAAGCTCAGATTCTTTCGTTATGTCGTGCAATGACCCTTTGTATACTAGTATAACACTCAAAATTTGAGAGATCGTTTATAATACCCTGTGTCGAAAATGCAAACGTGGAGAGAAAAAAAAAACATGGCGGATGTGATCAGTGACATATAGAAAATCGACTTAAAATTTATAAATTATATTAGCGAAATATTGGAACATATTCTCCTTAGAGAAGTGGACAGCTTTTTTTGTCTTCATCCACATGAAGGCAAAAACCTGTCCACTTCTCAACAGATCTGATAGTAATTAGAACAGTGCGCTATAGCTTGGTGCTTTGAGTACGAGGTTCCAATGATTGCAGATGAATATGTATATCCTGTTGTGATGTTTTCAAGAGTATTATATTTTCTTTATTTCTGATATTAATATTGTTTAGAGAATATTTAAGTTGTATTTGAACATGGAAAAATACGAAACTAACACTTTCTATAACAAAAAGTCAAATGGTCAAGGAGTGTGTGTTTGGGGGGGGGGGGGGGGATATCCCTTGTTCTTAAAGGTTCATCATGTCTTGAACATTTTTTTTAAATGCTTTAAGAATGTAAAAGTTCTGTAAGGTTTTACAAAAATTGTACATACTAATTTTTTTGCAAACATCATACATTTAATTTACATTAATTAGAAAAAAGTAAAATGCAATTTCATTATAAAGTCAACCAGCAAAAGGAGACGTGGAGAAAGCAGCTTCTAGCGATGTTCTCGGCTCCTGTTACATCATTTAGCACCTTGTCATGGTGGTCCCTGGCCGACAATAAAATAATAGACGGTATGTATTACAGTGCACAGAGCTAACACAAAACATCAAACTCGAGAGCCCTTGGCATTTACAAATGTCATCCTGTGGCATTACAATTAACCTGCATTTTTTTTTATTTTGGTCAGAACGATGGGTTTCTGGGGCTTATATATCAGTCTCGTTCACTTATGTATGCGACACAATTTAGAGACTGCCTATTCTCTTACGAGAAGTGGTAAGGCTTTCGCCTATATCCACGTATCTACTTCTCTAAAGAAGAAAAGATTGTGAGCCACATTTCCATTTCAACGACTCAGAATTTACATACAAAATTGTAAACCGAATTGTTGATATTTTTATGACGAAAGTAATGATCGATTTTAAATAAATTACTATATGTTGTAAGAGCTCTGTAATTGTTACTTTCTTTGATGCCTCCCCCTAGTAATTAAATTCAAAATTTACAACATGATACATATGCGCAATTGATTTTAGCAGAGAATCATGATTTTTCACACCATATTAACAGAACTAACGAAGTAGGAAAATAGAGTTTTACAAGATGAAGCTGGATATTGAGTTTTTTGAAATGATAGAATGGATTTAAAACAGAATTAATACTTTTGAAATATGACATTGTTCACAGTGACTAGTTATGCAGAAAAAAAATACATGTAATATCTAGATTGGACATGTGCCTTCGGCGGACATACGTTTTGATACGGCGATAAGTACTTAGGCCTGTACCAAATTACTGTACAAAGAATCAATGTTTCAAATATATATGTAGTCAAAGATTTAGAAAATTATTATTCTAGTATTATTCAATATGAAATATTGGGCAATAAGGATTTCACAATGACACTGAAACCCATACAAAACTTTAACTTAACAAAACTGATATGTGCAAGGTTACAAGAAACCTAAAAAAATTATGTTGATATTAAACCTATGTATAAATACAGTTAATATACACATATTTCTCTAATGTAGATATCAATATCGTCCTATAAAGTAAAAACGCCAATTCTTTGGTTCACATGTGAGGACTTCGTTAAACCGAAGGCCATTTTTTGTTCACCAAGGCCACTTTGTAGACTGTATAGTCAAGCATAAAAAACATCATTCCTTAGACGAGAGTCTTTTTCTCCACATGCGTCCGTTGAGAATAAGGTGACGGTTTTATATAAATATCCCTGTGAGAATTTCTGATTGTTTTGTTTTCAGACAATTGCTACATGACGGAGGATCAGGAATACTCTCTTGCTCCTATCGAGACTGCATGTCTTCCTCAGTGCCTGTCGCCACATTGATTTCCATTTCTTCTGGAGACCTGGCCAAGAAAAAGGAAGAAATTTAATAATTTTCCAGGAGGAAAGCTTATCTCATTTTCTGGTTACAATGAAAATAAAGATTTGCATCTAATCAGCTGATACTCCTTGACTTCATTAGATGTGCTGAAGGTCCTCTAATACCGGAACTCTCTTTAAGCTGATATATACATGTATCAGTTTTCTGTTCATGTATTAAAAATTAATCTTCTTTATATCAGATTGAGGAAGTCTCCGGCAAACAAAACTTGCTTTAGCTTTGTATTTTACTTCACACACACACACACACAAAAACACAAAAAACAAACAAACAAACAAAAACAAAACGAAAACAAAAAAGCCAAATGACATGAATTTATGCGGGTGGTCCATTCTTTCCGAAATTTAGAGTTTGTCTGGATTAGCAAGTATTCAGTTCCCATATTTCCATTACAGCTAGATGCAATTGTGCGAAAGTCATTAGATCATTAGACTGGTCAAGTTGAAATTAGGATAACATGGCCGTAGAAACCGGGGGGAGGGGGGCACGGGGGTCGTGCCCCCCAATAATTTTGGCGCATATATTTAGATTACTATAGTAAACATAGATACTATATGCTAGTGCCCCCTCAATAAAAACGTCCGATGACCTTTTTTTTTTTTTTTTTTTTTTTTTTTTTTTTGCTTGTTAGGAAATTTTTAGTAGTGCCCCCTCAACTGTCAACTGAATATGTATGGCTCCCCCCCCCCCAACTGAATTTACTTCCTACGGGCCTGGATAAAATTAACCTCATTGAATCAGGGTTAAAACAATTCTACATTTCATGCCAAGCAAGAACCTCTACGAAGTTTATAAATACAACTTTTTACTGAAATTATGATCTTATCTATATGACCTCAGGTAGAATCACTACACACCAACCCTTATGCGAAGTTTGAGGTTCTATTGTCTTGACAATATAAACTTGCAAATACAAATATCTGATGTTTAAAGTTTGAATTTTATGGATATGGCAAGTCCAGGAATAAGAATTTCGAAGCCTTCTGTTCTGTATTCAAATATACTTTTCAAAAAAAAAAGATGGGAAATTATATATATATATATATATATATATATATATATATATATATATATATATATATATATATATATATACCTTTGGGTTTTCTCCTGACCAGATCCAGCCTCTTTTTCCTGATGGTGATGACGATGTAATGACGTATGAGAGGAGTGTCGTCTGCTTTTGCTGGAGGAGTTTAGCGGAAGGTCCTGGTTTTCCTGCGGTCTGTCGCTGTTAACACTGGAGTACGCCGTTAAACCATGATGACTTGTATTTGATTTTGACTGCAAAATGAATTTGGTTAAAAATTATTTAGGTCCAATATATTACATGGTAGGATTTAATGCATTTATGTATTAAGAGAAACTTTTTAAAAGCATAATTGAATCCAACGAAGATATTGCAATATTTAATTGAAGTGTAAAGAGACCTTTTCTTCAGTATAACATATCGAGGAATCGCAATTGAATCGTCGCCCACAAATGTAGTAGAAGAAATGATTGTAGCGAATTAAGAAATGCTAAAAAGAATATTATAGAACACAGAATTTAAAACATGCCAATAATTCAAAACTGGTAGAAACTGCTCTGCTATCACCATTTAACAAAGAATCTATATATTAGAATGTACATCATTGACCTATAACTTTCGGGAGAAAAATGATTATTCCTTGTACCGCAAATCAAGAGAACATCAATAATTCAAGACATTTTTATTTAGAAGCTTGCGTTAGGCCTAAGATGCGGGTGCCCTATTGTAATCTCCTCTGATTCCGCTTGTCAATGTCTAGCTGTCCGTCCCTCAACACTTTATGTGACGCAATAACGTGAGTATATCTTAACTTACATGCTACATAGACGGAGGAGGATTAGAGGAAGATGACTTTGAGTCATGTAGTCAAAGGTCAAGGTCAATAGTTTAAATTATACCATTATCATTCACCATTGAAGACTTGTAACTTATTACATACTAGTAGATGGAGAATGGTAAAAGAAAAAAAAACACTCTGGTTTTGGTGGTGACTTGGTCAAAGATCAAGGTCAAAGCTCGATTGTTGATATAACCATTTTGATGCAATATTTGTTAAGTTACATATTTTGTATTTAGTCAGTGTATAGGTGGGAAATGGTCAGGGGGAACAATTCTAGATTATGGGATCAATTAGACAAAAGTCAAGGTCAACGGTCGAGATTATTGATGTGACCATTGTTAACCAATAACTTCAACAAATTGTAACCGATAGATTTCATATATAAATGGTTTGAGGAAGATATATCTAAAATATTGGGATCACTTGGTCAAAGATTATTGATATGACCATTGTGATGCAATTACTTGATTATTTTGCAATCATTAGTCTTAAAGTACAGATGGAGATTGACAAGGAATACATGCATTTAGATTTTAGAAACACTTGGTTAAAGTTGGATTGTTTAAGTGACCATTGTGACGCAATGTAATTTGGATTATAACTTTCCTTTCTTTTTTGTTACATAGATAAAGAACGGTTAGATGAAACATCTCTGGAATATAGGTCAAAACCAAGATGTCAATGTTTTTGAAAGTAACTGTTTTTAGAACATTTTCACTTCATAACTGAAAATTGTATGAGATTAGTACCAATGGTTTGCGTTCACATTCATGTACACACTTGGTGTGGTATCAAAGATAATTTCGTATCCACTACACTCCTAATGGATTCTGGGGCCACTAGTTCAAAGATCTTAGTTGAAAGGTCAAGATTACTGATATAAAAATACTATTGGGCCTTATATGACTTTGTTAGTTTTCTAGTTTCTATCGAAAAATTATCAGTCGTTATTGAATTTCGATACATTTGCAAACTCTTAAGATGAAATATTTTTTCTCGTCGTCGATGTCGGAACACGAAAGTGTGAGACATGAACTGACAGGCATACTGGCATACTGAAGGCCAGAATTCAATGACCTAGATCTAACACAAAGATGTGCGAAGATGAAATCGTCACTATACAATTTTTTTTCAACTTTAAAATAGAGTCCATAAACCCGATAAACAATGTGATGATAAAGATGATGATGCTGAAAGCACTGACTGACATAACCAAATTCCATGAAACATGGAAAAGCACTAAAACAATCCAGTAGAGATGAAACATTTATAAAATTAATAATCTAATAGTCCGCTTGATTCAGACGTTATCTGACCAAATTCAAAACTACTCTTCTATGCTATGTGAATATATTTTCCACAAAATAATGATATTGAAATACCAAAATCATATTAATATTGTTCACTATACCTCACATGGAGTGTAAATATTCTTTTTGATACTAGATACACTAAGACAAATTCGTAGCTGAAATTAACTCATAAAAAGTTTGTTTGTAAAATCATAAGGAAAAACATCGGATCATATATTACATCATATTGTTCACAATACCTCACATGAAGTGTTATACAGGTATTAATATTTATTTATGTAGATATATTTCAACAAAATATGGGCACGCCATATACGTAATGGAAACAAGCAAATTCAAAGTATTGTGGTCCCCCGCTTTTGGTGCCTTAGTGCTTGGGATGCAATTATTTATGGCATTTTGTAACTGTCTTTTTTTATGTGTCTTTTAAACTTCTAGTTGAAGGTCATGAAATCAATAATGATATACATTTCTGAAAGGTGTTGTCATAGGTAATGTAATGTAAAATATAAAAGCCCTATCCTCTCTCATTCAAAAGTTATTACAAATGTTCAAAAAAAAGCTGTAGGTTAAAATATAAGGTCAAGGTCACGGGGTCAAAAACCAAACTTCAAGGTTAAGGTCAAGGGATTAAAAATCATAGCACATTTGGAACATCTTGTCATAGGTAATGTACATGTCAAATATGAATGCCCTATCTTCTCTCCTTCAAAAGTTAGCAACAATGATATTTTTTTTAAATTACGTCATACTAGAAGCTCAAGGTTACGTGGTCAAATATCATTTGAGACACATTTGCACATTTGAAGCACATTTGAGACTTCTTGTCACAGGTAATGAACTTGCCAAATATGAACGCCATATCTTCTCTCATTCAAAAATTACAACCAATGTTAAAATTTTTGAAAACTAGGTCAAACTTCAAGGTCACAGGATAAAAAAATTTAGCATGGTCACAGGTAATGCGCATGTCAAACACGAATGCTGTAACTTCTCTCATTCAAAACTTATAAACAATGTTTAAATTTTTGAAAAGTGGGTCAATCTTCAAGGTCAAGGCCATGGGGTCAAACATCATAGCATATATGTGGGTATACCTGTGGAAAGGTCTTATCATAGGTAATGTGTACATGTGAAATATAAAAGACCCATCTCTTCTCATTCAAAAGTTATGACCAAGGTTAAAGTTTTTGTGACAGACGGACAGACTGACAGACGAATGAGATATAATGCCCCCTCGCTCTCGCAAAAGCGGGGGACAAATAACTCACAAAGATGTTTTTAAAAATTGTCATATACACTTTAAATTGAAATTTTGTGGAGGACAGAATATAATCAAAGACGATAGACTTTCTACCCAGTAGCATGCGCTCCATACACCAATCTTTCACACCTTATTAAGGAGGGATTCTTCTCATATTTATTGTATTAAAAAATTAATTAATTTTTCACAGATTCAAGAAAACAATATCACTAAGTGATGGTATCAATTAGATTAAATTTGACCGTTTTATTTTAGGAGCGAGTTCAGGTCATGTTTTTTATTATTTTTTTTTTTTATTTATTTATTTTTATTTATTTATTATTATTATTATTTTTTTTTGATATTAATAATCAAAAATTATTGTTGCCAATCTTGTGCTGCCTACTTCTACTACTTCTATTTCAAAAGATCAAGTTTTTTCTCTTTGCATAAAAAAGATACCCCATAGGGTCTATCAGATGATACTACCAAATTAAGAAAAATAATGTAACTAAAAAAGATTATGGCTAACCCAAATTTTATCTTTTTTTCCTCATTTTTTTTTTGGGGGGGGGAATATTTGTTATTTTTATATGCTTCGTATACTGTACGAGGGTTGTCCATAAATTTCGTGGACAGATGCTATAATTTAATTCTTAATAAAATCTGCACTGGCAAACGTATACGATAATATTTTACCATTTTTATCATATGTTCATGGACACACGCTACACTTTGTTTTTATTATGCCACATTACCAAGTGTTTGCAACAATATTTATGTATAGATCATAATTGATTTAATTTTTAAAATAAAAATAAATATACGATAATTTGATTTACGAGCGTCATCAATATAAACGTTTCGGATACACAGCTGCACAACCCAGTCAGACTTTGCGCTAGAATATAACAAATCAGAACACTAATTTAAAACTTAGGCATTTATATTGGATCGCAGTATCTGCGACTCTTAAATACAACGATTTTTACAAAAATATTGAGTTCAAACTATGAAACCAAACTAGTCTGACTTGGATTTTTATATCTTAGAACCATTGATTTTGACAAAAACGTCATTGTCCACGAACTTTATGGAAAACCCTCGTAGATTGCAAAATATACGCGAGGAATTAATTACCGCGTAATTTCGCGAGAAACACCACTCTAAATAAAATCACTCGCTTTTTTCTTGATCAACCGTCCACTCGCGAATTATTGTTCTTGCAAATTGTCGTTAGAGACATTTCGCGATAATAAGTACTCGCGAAAAATAAGGAATCTACAGTATTTAAAATTTTCTTATTTTCAAGTGTGGAGAAGTAGTCATGTAAAGATACAAAATGATACAAAGACAAAAGTTTTGACCGTTTAATAAGAGAGATTATTTTTCCTGAATTTTTGCTCAAATCTGTTATGATTCTGGAAACTTTCAAAAGCTAACAAGACTGTGGTTTGTTTGGAAAAACATATTTATTTCGTATATATATTTTAAAACTTAAGTCGATAATTACTAGTTTTTATTTCAGTTATTTCTGAAAAATGTTTAAGCCTTAGATTGTTCAAGTTAAAAATGCTAACTAAATTCATTGTATTGAAGATCTTTCCATACCCCGCCGCTCCGCCAAAAATATTGTCCCTGCTAGATTTCAAACTCAGTTTACCATTTCTATTTTAAGTTGTACAATTATGAGAGGAAAAAAAGATGATTTTTAAAATCCTTAACATCAAAACATAAAAGATATTTAACCAAAATATATTTTGAATATTTCATTTATTCTTATTCAGAAACCAGACAAGAATCCTTCCTTAAGCATAATGACAGTTGGGTATCCGAAAGCTTAGATATATATATATGTAAACACTAACATGCATACAGTTGACCTAAACCCTTACGTAATCGTGTTTGCTTACCCGTGTTATATTCTCTGTCTTGGCATTTACGACATAGATCTGCTTCAATACCAAACATTTTTATCTAATTTTTTATTTATAAAACAGGGAGAACATTTCAGCAAGTAACCGTATAAGAATTTCAAGTTTTGATTGCATTGATATTTATTCCTCTTGAGAAATCACGCTTCAATAGCTGCTGTTCTGTAACAGCGATAGTTAAAAGCGTGCTTTTGTGGCATTACTTAAAATTATCTTTATCCAGTATTCCTTAAATCTGTTATATTTGATGAATATAAATAAAATAATTTCTATAAAAGCGAAATTATCCTGTATTACACTATACTGCGAGAAATATTGCGCAATGCAAACTCAGCACCATAATTCTATCTTTTATTTTGGCGCTGGACATTTTAGGGAATTTTCTAAAGGTGTGAATGGACAAAAAGCGGGAAATTTAGTGTACGTTTTAGCGAAAGAAAATTCGGTTACCTGTTAAAACTCAATGGACATTTTTGCGGAATTCTTTCAGAGATTATTTTAATTTCTTTAGAGGCATTGATTAATGGTCAACAGATTAATAACTAAGTTTCATACTCCATTGGGTTTTCCATGGTAAAGATAGAAATATTCACTTGAATAAAACTAACAAATACAAACTAATATTCCTACAAGTAAAGTAGACATCACTGAACAGTATGGAACTAGAAAAGATATAGAAAGTCAAACGAATCGTGGTAAATTAGAATATCATTTTTGATGGGTTGCAGTATGATATTCTTTAGGTGCGCTTTGAAACACCAAAATGTCTTATCCGATTTGATAGTCTTAGCTATCAACTGTATTAAAATTAACTATATTCCTCTCAAAATCATACTTTTTCCTCTCGGTTGTGAGAATGGGACTGCAGACTTAGCCTGACTAACAGAAGAGATATATGTATAAGACCCCTATAGAGACCGAGAAGCACGCCCCAACTTATTTCTGGAAATGCTTCCTATGGGCCTGTGCATGTTTGACTTAACTCTCCCGCTAAAATATCCGCATCTTATTTTCTCTATATCTTCCTTTTTTTTCCCCTTTTTTTACTTTTTTTTGGGGGGGTGCTTAAACGTTAATATTTTCCCGCTAAAACGTCCTGTGAAATGTCCCATTCCGTTTTATTTTACACATGATATTTAACATCTAAATTAACAATACGAATAACATTATTCTTTCTTACGAAAAATGTCTGACAAGAATGGAATTTTACCAATTGCTTATGAAATAAAAGTAGTGTTGACGTTTTAAAGAGCATTTGTTTGATCTACCTAAGGTATACTTACAGATGAATGTCTTTGGCGACGTGACTGGTCAGCCAATCCGTAACAGAAGTAGTAGAAGACAGCAGCCACCAGAATAAAACTACCCACAGCACAGGATATCGGACCAAGCACTTTATAAAGGCTGAAATCACACACAAACCCTTTATATCCAGTATAATAGATAGGATACTTTAAAGAATTATTCTAAAAGCCACCCAAATACGGAAGCGTGTTAGTGCCACGTAATATTTTTTTTAAATTGGAAATTCCAACTTTAAAGTTGGTAATTCCAACTTCAATCTTGGCTTTTCCAACTTTAAAGTTGGCTTTCCATTAATCACCTGTAATCCTTTAATCTTGGCTTTTCCAACTTTAAAGTTAGAAATTCTAACTTTAAAGTTGTAAATTCTAACTTTAATCTTGGCTTTTCCAACTTTAAAGTTGGTAATTCCACTTTGAAGTTGGCTTTTCAAACTTCAACCTTGGCTTTTTTTTTAACTTTAAAGTTTGCTTTTTCAGCTTAAATCTTAGCTTCTCCAACGGCATCAAATGTACAAAATTTGAATATAACATCAAGAAGATTTTATACATTTTTGATTCAAGTCATATTGTTAACTTATAGACTACAAAGATTCTGAATTTCGGCCAATCAAATATAAAGCGGTCTTACAACCAGCATTAAAACATTTCCGTTTGGTACATAGGTCCAGATACAAATTACATTTGTCTAAGTAGATGGAAATCACATGTCTTGTGAATTATCCATCACTTGGTTTCCTTTAGGAATTCCAAATCAGTGAAGGATATACCGTCTCCTTTATTTTCTTTTTATTATAATTTAATCGATTTTTCTTTCATTTTTATCAGTTCATCAATAATTTTACAAAGGAATTAAAATAGAAATAATCATCACCCTTTCAAACAATATAAACACTATCTGTGTTTTGGCCTAATACTTAACACAAGCATCGTTCTCTATTTGGTATATATACTGTATATAAGCATTATCTTGAGTGTTAAATATTTATTAACCATTTATTAATAACCATATTTTAAAGTATCCTGTCATCAAATTAAATTTCTTTTCTTGTAAAAATTTATATTCTTTCATAATTTTGTTACTCCGCTTCTCTAGGTACTAGTAATATAAATGAATCATATTAAATAAATAACGAGTAAAATGTAGGCATTTTACTTTCGTTTTAAGAGTTCTCTATTGTTATTTTTATTATCCAGCTTTAACAGCCAGAGAAGAAATTAACATACACGAAATATATTCCAGAGAGACCTGTGTCATGTAAAAGTAACTTAATCAATTATATCAACGCGGGGGTGAAACTCAATTTGTGCGATAAAACGTCGGAGAATTCGGTCGTTAAATATAACTACAGATTTACATTGATTTTGTCAGTCTTTGTTTTATACTAGATTCTTTACTATGGTAAGGGGGGTATATGTTGTAGTCCCGTTTATAATCTGAAGGCACTGCTAGGCGCTAGTATAAACTCGGTTGTAATCAGGACCAATATCGCTCCATCTTTACATTCTAATGTGTATAATTAGAATGAAATCTATCATATTTCTACCGTCCCTATGTTAAAAGGCAATTATTACATATTATGCAAGATAATTTCAAATACAATGCTGATATTTTTGCAATAACGAGTGATAATTGCTATAAATTGAATTCATGTACCTCAATACACTATGATGACTTCGGGTTGAAGTGCAAGAGTCTGTTGTGCTCCGGAAGTCACGTGACTATATTTGAATTGTTTTGAACTGAGTACCATTCAAATTTCAGTTCAGTACTTTTTCATCATGTTATGTCAATAGTCATGTGTAAATTTCTTCAACGAAACCAACTGCCGAATCCTGCTTATTTTTTTTTAATCTAGCCTATGTTCACTGAAATTAGTACGACTTCCACATGTTCACGTAAGATAAGGAAGAACTCTATTAGAAAAATGGCAAATAATTTAAATTTAAGTCTTTGCTTGAGAAAAGCAGTCCGGGCACTTTCATCCGATGTAGCTCTACATCAATGTAATAAACCTCCGCTTCAGATTTTTAAACTCAAAAATGAACTTTTCGTCTAACTTCTTGTGTAAATAACAGAGTGCATTTGATCCAGAACACAGTAATAAAAAAAACCAAATAAGGAAAAAAGGCGATATTTTGAGAAAAAAAATTATTTATTCATTTCTTTATCTATTTACCCCCCCCCCCCGCCCCGTATGTTATTTATTTAACAGAAATCCGCTTTATTGAAAGGATTTTGAATGCCGTGAAAATTAGCAACATGTGCACTAATATTCAATATGAATTTATGTCTTTTTTTTACTCCAGAAAAAATATATCACCCAATCTAGAATAAGTTTCTTCTAGTTAAGGTCAAACGACACGTTCCTCAAAAATATGTTCTGTATCTCTTGGTATTATATAAAAAAAACTATTCATAATTGTCATTCTCGTGTGATTTCTTAATTGTTTTCAATATGTTTTTTTAAAAATATATACACCAAATATTGTAACATTGGCAATTCAAAAGATTACCCATAAGGATTATATAATAAATATCACCCTCCGGTACCTTGCCCAATGCCTGGTAAGGTACCTCTAATTTTTGTTAGGAAACTTGTTCAAGTAGCAATACTTCAATGACAATTCTTGGGAAAAATCATATATTTTCGAGGAACGTGTCGTCTGGCCTTAAATCTTGATAAATTTACTGATAGTTTTATAATGGTACATGTATTGGCTAGGCAAAATAATATGTACATAACTCACACTCTTTCAGATTGAGCAACTCGTTCATTTTCATCTTTTGTATCATCTAGGCCAAGGACGGTCAAGGTCAAACCTGGAGCAAGAAGTATAGCACCTACAAAAACCATGGCTAAAAGTCTTCTCATGGAGAAGCCGTGGGGCTGTATTCGATGGGTGCGGTCCCCGCGTGACTTGTGCCTATTGCGGACCACACTGGCATATACCGCGGGACGCATAGTGACAACGAGATATGTCCCGGCCCTGCTAATCCATCTTTTTTCTCTATCTGTCGTAGTTTCTGAAACGAAATTTTAAAAAAAAATCTTAAAAACATGACGATCTTCCTTTTTTCTATCTTCTTTTTTATCTGAAGTCAGGCTTGCTTGGAAGATTGGTTAATCGGCAAGGATAAGGATATATAAAAACTAAGGAAATTTACAATGAAATATTACAGTAGAACTAACAGTGCTATTACATTCGTGCTATCAACAAAAGAGTGAAATCGACCCACGCCAATCGGGCGATAACGGGGGAGTCATTCAAAGACGGAGGCTTACCATCAAGGACAAGTAAGTAGCCGTTACCCTGTCGTATCGATCTCAACCCAACTACATGGCCATACACATCGCTCGACCGCAATCAAACGGTTAAACCGTGATGTAGAAACTTTTAACGATTCTTGGCATGTAAAATCAACTGGTCGTGAAAGAGATCAGAAAACTAGGATTATATAACTACAAGCAGATATATTGGAAGTTCGGGACTGTGCCCTGGATGTTGGAGTGATCACTTACAATAGCAGCAGACGACTGACTGAAAAAATTCAAAGCGCTTCATCAAACTTTAAAGTGAGTGACTTCATGGTTATGAATAGAAGACGGAATTTGACGTCTCTGTAAAACAGGTTCAATCAATTGTAACTTAAAAAACCATATTGAAAACTGCAATCTTGACTGCGATTCAGTCCATACAGTGATGGCTGTTTTGTACCGTGTGAGTGGTCGTCTTAGAAATAAAGGGAAATTGTCTGCATCATTAGTTCTGTGATAATGATTACATGACAATCAGTCTCCGTCGAATTTTACTGCCAGCTACTAGAAAAAGAATGAATAGCCAGAATTCGGAAATGTAGATGTGACCTTTTTTTCTCGTTTTCTTAAGAACATGTATAATAGTTTCTTACTGTATCAAAACGCATATGTGATTACTGCGATAGTGTTTCAAAACCTACAAATTATGAACACTTATGTTGTACACAAAATCAAATATTATACTTTCATGTAAATTACTTGAATTTGATTCGTCGAGAAATACTTGTTAAAAACACTGTTAACCCTCTGAATGAGGAAACCATGCCCTCCAGAGCGATAGAACTTAGTGCTCAACAGTCAACATTGCTTGATGACGGGTGATATTAAAAAAAACACAAACACACAATAAAAAACAAACAAGGGGGGAAAATAGTGCTTGCGCGGAATCTATGTTCGCGCTTCACCTTTCTTATTTGTATTTGTATAATACATTCAGTATTGTATAAATATTGCATGTAGTTGAGTGTAACATTGAAAATTTTCACCCCAAAAAAAACATTGTCAACCGAGGCGAAACCGTGGTTGACAATGGTTTTCGAGGGGTGAAAATTTTCAATGTTACACTCAACTACATGCAATATTTATTATATTATACTGAATATTTTATACAAATACATATACATGTAACAGTGAACCTTGCGCGCATAAATTCTGCGAAATCACAATTTTTTTGAAATATCACCCGTCCTCAAGCAATGTTGACTGTTGCTATGCTGGAGGGCGAGGCTTCATTATTCAGCGGGAAATAGTGTTTTTTAACAAATGTTTCTCGACGAATCAGATTCAACTAATTTACATGAAAATATAATATAATAAATACTACATGTAGTTGAGGGTAACATTGAAAATTTTCATCCCAAGAAAACCATTGTCAACTGAGGCAAAAATAAATAGATAAATAAATAAGTAAATAAAACAGAAAATAGATCTTTAAGATTGATCGTTCGTGTGCCTAAAACAGACGGATTTACAAGCTGAAGTGACGATCATAAACAGTTACATTGATACAAACGATACAATAAAAGTGAAAAAATTTTCATGAAACAATCAAAAACATATCCTACTATTCCAACATTTCATAATCAAAGACCAATTTTTAGTAAATCAATAGCAACGTACATGTAACCCAGTAACAAGCAGTCTCATCACATTTAACAGCGATATGTTCCCTCCAGCCTTTATTTTCAGTTTTATTTTTGCTTTGCGACACATCAAACCCGTGAATGAAACACTAAAAACAACCTAATACAGATTCTTTATCATAATTATTTAAAGTTTTGGACAGGTTTACTTTGATTGAAAATCAAAAAATATATGGATTGAATAAAAAACTTGAAACGGAACAATGAAAACATAAAAATATTTTCTGATTTCCGGAAGGTATTTTGCAGCCAAATATCTCTGTGCCTCGTACTTACGCACACTGACTTTTAGTAAAATACTGAGCTCGAAATTTCCTGTACATATGGTTCTTAAATGACATATTATACAATATACATAGTACAAATGTCTATAATAAGGTTGATAGGTCAATAACTAACTCCAAGTGATCAATATTGTGAGCGCATTTTATTTCCAAAAACGCTTGAAAATTGCAGTAGAACAAAAGCAGTCGCTCTGATAAAAACAGATTTTGATGAAACTGGATTTTATAAAGTTTATAATTAATTAAATAAACTTATTTTAAAAACTTTTCAGTCAGCACAATTTTAATTGGGTAGGTCGTGTTAGGCGAAACAAAGATTTTTTTTTTATTTTGGCCTTATGTAAATTTATATAAATATAATTTCACAAAATTATGAAGTTGGTGAGATTTTAGAACTATGTGAATTTAAGATTTAGTCGTAAGATCTTTTGTAAAACACGGCGGCGAACACCATTCATTTTGTTAAAATATGACCTAATTTTAGCTTTAAAAGTTGGAGATATAGTATTATATACGGGTAGATAAAATCTTGAGTTTATCAATGGAATATGTCACATATTTACATTATTTAAAAGAGTATATATATATATTGTCTGAGTAATACCGGTATAACAAACCATGAACCCTTAGTTTGAGATGTTTCGGACAATGCTTGATTTGTAGGATGATTGTAGGCTGATTTTAGGATGATTGTAGGATGATTTGTAGGATGATTACCCAATTATACTATATCATGATTACTCTACTTTTATTAAGAAAATTCATCAAAAAAGAAAAAAAAAAGATCCGTTAATGGTGTACCTCTAGAAATAAACCTACAATCGAATGATCATTAAAAATACATGACAACATGCAGTTTTCTACTTGTGTAGAACAGATGATGTTGCCAAACTTTCATTAATGTAGTGAAGAATAATGGATCAGAATATCAATGCATTGAAAGTCCACTATTATGTCGAACAACATAAACAGAAAGCCAAACCATTTCAAGGTATTCATTATCAATTTACTTAAATAATGTATAATCTTATTCAATATTTTTTGAAAAGATGAAAATGAAATTACATGCCTTGTCAAACGTTGACCAGACAATATCAACGAGTCTATCTTGACTATCAGAAGTTTTTAGTATTCCTGTGTAGTGTACTTTAAATGCCACGTGACTGTTGTTTCGATTTCCATGTTCTCACAAATACATGAGTGTGTTTTGAACTTCCACTGCCGTAATTGCAACATCATTAGAATTATATATTTACAGTACCCTGTCTATATAAATCTTTCACAGGAACTACCTTGTTTTTAATTAATAATTTAATCTCTCTCTTTTCCTGATAACCCATTCACATTGAAAATAAAAAATAATTTTCAAAGCAACCAGAGTCAACAATATCAAGTACGCAACATATAAAATTGTTGCAAAACTCTACGAATTTGTGCTTTATCGAATTTCAAAATTAAAACACATTGTAAATAACATCATGTACATACGGCTACTCCTGAAAAATTAATCGTGTTATCATTACATCATGTTCATAAGGTATTCCTGAAAATTTAAACAAGTTATCAGTAACATCATGTTCATTTCTATGTATATTGTCATGTTGAATTTACCGGATGGCAGTAAATTCAAAATTTACAACATGACAATATGTATATGGGTATTCCTAAAAATAAATTTAAATTCATTTAAATTTTATTCATTTATTTGAATACCTGGTTTAGATGCTATATTGATTCAAAATTATAAAACAGTAATTCCATGCTCTATAATATTTCTTTACACGCAGTATTGATAATGATATACAGACTGTGGTAGCCAAAACATTTTTAATGTACAAAAGAGGAAACATGCAGATAATTTAAAACAAATCCCGTAGTTGATGTAACCTAGAAATATTTTAAAATTGTGGGAGAAAGATATTAAGTTGTACATTTTTTTTGGTTGTGTCTCATATTCCTTTGAGGCAGGATGCCAATATTTTATATGTTAATTGTAACTGTGCATGTTGTTTTATTTGTAATACTTGGCATGTGACTCTTAAATAAACAATTACGTACTTACTAATTACTTGTCAATTTATTAAGATAAATGGAGACTGAATAATTTCCAGTTCATATAATACTCATCTAAGATAACCTATCAGTAAGTTAATAGAGTTATGATAGGAGACTTTTAACAGACATGTTTAAAGGGCTTCGCTGAAAATAATACCTGTCTCATTAAAAATGTTTTGAAATACCTTACATATATACATATTCCAACTGTCCAAATGTTACTTCAAATACTAGTAGTCCACTTGCTTTTTCATATACAATGATTTTCTTCCTCAAATTAACAAGAGTAATTAACTTTTCCTGACTTTCATATTCCTTCTTACCAAAAGTGAACGAGGAAATGACCTTCAAATTCATTTCAAAAGGGATATTAAAGAAAATTATATCAATACAAATATAGATTATGTATTGTCGTGCATCGGCAAAAGAAGTGATGTATATCAGCTCCTGAAACCTGACATCAATTTAGCAATCATTTCTTTTAATCTGAAATGTGGACATAGAATTTCGGTAAAACAGTGTATCACGCAATTGCCTTGTACAGCTTAATATGAAGAGCTTTGCATTAGCGGATTGCACGACATTGTGACAAGTTTTTGTGACAATCTGTATTAGAGGGATGTTATACAACAACTGGCACAAATCCAGGGAGTATTTCAGGATCGATATAGCCTAGCAAAAAATCTTTTTTTCAAAAAAGGGAAGTGTTAGCAAGCTTTTGCTTTC